CTGGGTGACCCTACTCTTGCCAACTTTGGCCGCAGCTCTCGAGGCAGCCAGCTTCCTCACTCTCTCCTCAACAGACGACATGTTCCCTACAAAAACAAAAGAAAAAAGTCAGCAAACGAACAAAGACAACAGTAACGTCAGGCAGAGGATGTCGACCACCACCTAGAAAACGGAGGGCCTCCTCGTTGGACGAGCACTCGAGCAGAGCCTTTGTTCTAATCAACCTCTTCCACTGGAAAATACTCCCCTGGCTGTCGCGGATATAGTTACCGTCGAGCGTCACCAGTCGAGACGGGGGTAGGCTGGTCACGAAAGATACTATCTTTTGATAGCCTTCCAAGTCGTCCTTGTCCAGGGTCCCCACCCGCACTATGTACTGGTCTGTGCCCTTCGTAAAGTGCTCCTCCATCCACTCCAGGGGCACCCTCGGCACCATAACGGCCTCTCGTTGCCCGTCTACTAATTGGTCTTCTCGCTGAAACAATGAAGCACACACCTCGTAAGATACTGGTTGGACGACAAAGAGACGCGCATTGAAATCCCGGAAAGAATCCATTTTGGTCCGGAAGAGCTTCCTCGACTGCTTCAGCGAAACCCATCTGTGTCAACCATCGAATGTTTGCCTATGCAGATGGAAGAGCCAGAAGAAAAGCGACAAGGTAGCCCCGACCTCCAAATGCCTGCAGACGAACTTGTACGCCCGGATGAAAGCTATCGCGTTGGGATGCAGTTGTGAGGGATCTAACCTCAACCAGTCAAAGACCCCCAACTGGAAATCCGTGAAGGGAAACCTGAGACCGGCTTCCCGAAAATAGAACTCGTACATAGGGAACCACATTCTTCCATATGTTGAGCATATACGGTGATGCTCGCGTGGCCGATATACCTGTCAGCTTATAGGTGTCTCCGCGCACCTGTCCTCGACGGTCACGAAAGCACCAGTCTCGTCGTCGACAAAGTACGAGGGCGTACACAACGGCTCCTCAACTACCTATTCCTCGACTGGATGGGCTCGTAATTTGGCGGCTGGAGCCTCGGGTTCCACATCAACATTCATGGTTCCCGGGACCCACGAAGTCATATCCACCTGAAAAGCAAAAGGAAACGGTGAATTCAATGTCCAGGATCAAATTCACCCTTCCACCGCAGGTCAAGTGAAAGTGCGACGGGGACAGCGGCCACGACGGCAGCAAAGGCCACCCAGGCATTCCTCCTCAGGGGATTCATCCAACACCCCTCATTGTCCCCGGGGTACTCATCTAAAACTAATACTTGTCCCCGAGGTGTTCACGCTACCCCCCCCCCCTCTAAAACGTCCTCGAGACCCTCATCCTAAACCTAAAAACCCACTGTCGAATGCGGCGGAGGGCCCACTCCCTCCTCGGGGCATTCATCACACCCCGACACCAGCATTCAAGTGTAAAAAAAGGAAAAGATAGGGAAAAAGGGAACTTACTGAGCTAGATGTAACGACGGTGCACGCGGCGGTGGTTGCGGCGGTGCTGGCGAACGAATGGGAGCGCAAAATTCGATCAGGCACGTGCGTAAGCGAGCGAAAGAGAAAATGGTAAATGGGCAGGGGCCTGCCTATTTATACCCTCAGCACGGGACTTGAAATGCCCTAGGCACTCAAGTACCCTAGGGTAGCCGCCCCGCGTGGCCCACTGACTGTTGGACATGTGGCATCAAAAACAGTCACGTCCCTTCGGCCTCCCCACGAGAACGGACGGGGGAGGACGTGCCATCCGTCCCCTCCTTGACACGGTGACCCGACAATACCGAGACTCCCACGCTCCTGCATCCCCGAAATAGTCAGGCCGACAAATTTCTCCCTCGCGCTCCTCGCCCGACGCAACAGACTCGCGAAGATCCCTCCTCGCGCATCCTTTCTCCATGGCGCAGTACCATCAAGTCCTCGCTCCTTCACTTTGGAGCTACGACTTTGGGGGCTCCTGTTCTGGACTGGGCACAGGCCTGGCCGAGCAGGCCCAGCCCAACGCTATTTGGGGAAGGCCCAAATTACCCGATGTCGAGCACATGTACTCCCGTCGACCAGACCACTTCCTCCGTCGGGTAGAACAACGTGTCCTCCACACGTCCTCCACGTGCCCCCTCAGCGGGGACACGTCATCAGCCAACTACCCACCTCTGAAAGAGTTGGTCAACCCACCTTCGGAAGATCACGGGACGGTTGAACTAGGGCGAAGACCACGTGCTGGTCTTCACTATGCCACGTAAGCCCTAGCAGTCACCTGGGTTGGGCCTGACAATCCAGCTCAACACAAGTGACCGTTGGCTCTGCGTCGGGGTCTCACTATAAATACCCTTTTTCACTAGAGGGTCAGGTATTCACTTCTCATTATCTCTTTTGTATTTGCTCCCACCCTGGTCCATTACTTACTTTGGCATCAGAGTGTCTTGCAGGTACACCCCCCTCCTCTTCCATATTTCTAGTGAATAGCTAGCAGATCAGTGACGCGTGGCAGATCATTGATCCTCTTCAAATCAGGTCAGATCAATACGGTTGGCGGAAAACAGTATACAAGTTTTTTTACTAGCTCCTGATAGCTGGTGATGGAGACACGGGGGGTATATACCATCCACTATTAGAAAAACTTCGTGGGTAATTAATTTAGCAGGTAAAGTCGCAGGAAAATGTCACAGGAAATATCGCAGGAAAATGTCGCTATTATAAATCCAAAATCGCAGGTAAAGTCTCAGGAATTTCTGCGAACTTTGTTGCTACCTCAGTTTTCTTAGGAAATAATGCTTCACAATATAAATTAGTTGATAAAACCGCAGGTGGATCTGCGGATAAATTTCCACGGGAAAATCCGCAGGTAATTCCTGTATTTCTAGTAGTGATCGTAGGGAGGCTTCTCGGAAAGTGGTAGATAGTAACTTGCACTTCAGGGATTCAGGCACTCATAGGAATCGTTGTGCCCATCAAACTTGGCCAAAAGGGGGGTTTGAATTCCTCATGGACAGGAGTTCGAACCTATCCCTAAGATTTCGATTCTCAATACAAAAGATTTTGATTTGTTCCACTACTTAGTTTTGTTGTGAAATTTATGGAGTAGAGAAAATATGTTTTATTCCATTCTCAATACAAAAGGTTTCGATTTGTTCCACTATTTAGTGTTGTTGTGAAATTTATGGAGTAGAGAAAATATGTTTTATTCTATTCTCAATACAAAAGGTTTCGATTTGTTCCACTACTTAGTTTTGTTGTGGAATTTATGGAATAGAGAAAATATATTTTATTCCATTCTCAATAAAAAAAGGTTTCCATTCGAATTCCACATTTTAAAATTTACCTCCTTGAACTTCTTTTTTATTGTTTTTGATAACCTTAATTAACTATTAAAATTTCTCTTTATGAAAAAGAAATAACGTGTATAAGTAAAGCTATAACATTTGTTCACTATAACAAATATATAGTAGTTAGCACCAAAACTCATAGATTAATTTTAAGAAAGTAGAAAAAGATAATTGAGACAAAAAATAAATAGATAAGAAAAGAAGAAAGAAAAAAAAAACATACGAACAAATACTTATTTAGCTCAAAATTACATTATCTACTTTAGTCCCTAAGAATTACTCTGAAATTTTCACTACCACAAAAACTTTAACATATCCGCAAACCTCAACCTTACATCAAAATTGATTAGAGATTCAATTTGCAATAAAGTTTAGATCAAACGAATTACTATTATTAAACATGCATTATGTTATTTTATTTTTGATTAAATGTACTCCTATTTAAATGTTTTTAACTTTTCAATCCCCTTATTTTAAAATTTAGTTTTTTGTCCTCAATTTTGATTTCCTTAGTTTTTTTAAGGGGGTCAAAAAATTAAATTTTATTGTATTTTGTGGTTGTTTTAACTTCTGGTTCTCTTTCGACATCTTGCAGTTTTTCTACTTCAACTCGGTGGAATCACTTCCTATAGAACAGTTTTCAAAACCAATAAATAGTCAATATGATGCATAAATTTCAGTTTTGTGCAAAAGTTACATAAGAAATTTGAGGATGCTCAAGTGTTTGTTGTTGAATCTTGTGCACTGGGATGTGTTTCACAATATCTTTTGTGAAAACTTGAGTGTTGTGTTTAATGCACTAAACAATGTGAATGCAAGCCCCTATGTAGATCAAAATATATATGTTTCAAGTATAACTAATGTTGGAGGCAGAAATACAATTTCATTCAATAACACCAAAAAAATCTTTATATGTTTCAAATTCTCCTTTACTCTAAACAAAATAAATGCAAACATGTGAGGATTGTATCAAAAATCAGTTTTTACATAATTCCTTCAAAGAGACCTGCATTTGGAATCTAAATAGAGAATTGCAGGTGTGTAGAGCAGACACCCACCCTTCCTCCAAAAAAAAACAACCTTGAACACAACACCTTTAATTAAGAGAGTTGTTTTGCACACAATTACTTAAACAACAAATTAATAATGGATTCAAAGAATAATATTTCAATTTAAATCTATAAATGAAAAGGTACTTTGTTCCAACAACATGAAAATATCCCTAATAAAACCTTTCCATCAAAGGCTTTTTATTTGAAAAGGTACTTTGTTCCAACATGAAAATATCCCTAATAAAACCTTTCCATCAAAGGCTTTTTATTTGAAAAGGTGGACTTGTAAAACTGTATGCTTTTGCAGAAATTTGAATGGCTTCCCATCCATCTAAACAACTTTTTTTTTAGTACAAAATGGTATACTGGCACAGAGAGCAATGGAAAGAACCTCTCTCAAGAAATTACAACAAAGACTCAAACATTATTTATTTACATCTACAACAAGGACATTTCAAACAAGGTCTATTTCTTCACAATAATCTTCTGATAAAGGCTAAACCTGCATATAACCACTTTCCATGAATAATTTATGTAAGATGTTGAAAATGCCACCAAATGATTAGATATGAATCTTGTTGTCACACCACGGGTCACGCTCCTAATTTTTCAGTCTTCACACTTCAATCAAGCAGGGATCATCTGCAAATTCAAACGTGGAAAAAGGTAAAATACCACATCAATTTGATAGGAAATTTTAAAAAAAAATAAAAACAGATAATCACTGACAGCCTAAAAGAATGTCTGCAAAAATGATAAATTCCCCTGCAACCAAATCACATTTCTAATCATTTTAGATGATCAGTTTTGAAAAGAGATGCGCTCTATGCCCTAGTAAGCAGGTTATATGGAAAAACAAAAATAAAATATTGGCATTGTTAAGATAATAGAAAGAGAGAGAAAAATCTGATTTGTATTTTCATTCTTAGCAAAATAGAATACAACCAGTAGATATATATAGCTGTAAGTTTGTTATCACATATGGCACAGCTCACTAACAAACTTACAGTTGTACCTTAACAAACAGACAGCTGTGAATAAGAGAAAAGGACAAATAATAGAATAAGACAAAACAGTAGAATATTCTATTCTAATAGTCCCCCTTAGAATCAGAGGGTGTCTTCAGTAGCTCCCTTTTACTGAAAACTCTGAGCTTGTCTCTTAGAGGCAGGAATTTGACAGCAGAGAGAGGTTTGGTTAGTGCATCTGCCCATTGGTCTTGAGCAGGAACATGAACCACAGTTAAACTCTTGCTAATGACTTTTTCTCTAAGGAAGAAAATGTCTAATTCCATGTGTTTGGTTCTGTTATGAAGCACAGGGTTGTGAGCTAAAGTAATTGTGCTTAGGTTATCACATAGAATCTTGGGAATTTGAAAAGTGCAGTGTAATTCAGTGAGCAGAGATTAGACCCATAACATCTCAGAGGCAAGCTGAGTCATGCTCCTGTACTCTGCTTCAACACTTGATCTAGCCACAAGTTGCTGCTTCTTGGACCACCAAGAGATCAAATTAGGCCCAAGAAAAACACAAGCACCTGAGGTTGATCTCCTGTCATCGGGATCTGCAGCCCAGTCTGCATCACAAAAACCCAAGAGAGAAAGGGGCTGCTGTTTAGGGGCAGGTTGAATGAGAAGACCATAGTGAAGTGTCCCACTAAGATATCTCAGTATTCTCTTGACAACTTTCCAGTGATCCTCCAAAGGATTGGATAAGAATTGGCACACTTTGTTAACAGCAAAAGAGAGTTCAGGCCTGGTCAATGTTGCATACTGCAATGCTCCAACAACAGATCTAAACAGGGTAGGATCTGCAACACTATCTGAACCAAATTTAGACAATTTACTGCTAGAAACCATAGGGGTAGGCATAGGATTAGTTGTGGCCATATTCACTCTAGTAAGCAGGTCACTCACATACTTAGATTGAGATAAGATGATAGAACCATTAGACAGATGGGAGACTTCAATGCCTAGGAAATAATCCAACTTACCAAGATCTTTGAGGGCAAAATTAGAGTTAAGACTCTTAATAAGCTGAGCAATATAGGCAGTGGAATTTCCTGTGATGATGATATCATCAACATAGATTAAGACCATGATAATGAGGCTGTTGGTGTGAAGATAAAACAAACTGGGATCACATTTGCTAGGTTGCAGTCCATGAGTCAGAAGAGAACCCTTGAGTCTTTCAAACCAGGCTCTTGGAGCCTGCTTTAGACCATATAAAGCTTTGTTCAGCTTGCAAACCAAAGACTTATCAGTAGCCTCAAACCCAGGAGGTTGTATCATATAAACCTCCTCTTCAAGTAGCCCATTAAGGAAGGCATTATTGACATCAATTTGCTGCATCTGCCAGTTATTTGTGACAGCAAGGGTTAGCACAAGTCTTATGGTGACAGGTTTTACTACAGGGGAGAAGGTTTCTGAGAAATCACTCCTAGCCTGTTGGTGAAAACCTTTGGCAACCAGCCTTGCCTTGTATTTAAGAATGGTACCATCAGGGTTCTCTTTCACACTGAAAACCCATTTGCAGCCTATGGGTTTCTTGGGTGCAGGTGGAGGTATTAAATGTGCTTTTGTAACTGCTAGATTTATTATTACTATTTTATTTTATTGTTTCAGTTTTTTAGTCAATTAGTGGTTGCTATACTTTAGGAGCAAGCTAGTAGTAGTTGCTATACTTTAGGAGCAAATTAGTTTAATTATTCAATTCCCTAAAATCCTGGTTACGTGGGATAGTTTTCAGTTTTCCTTTCTATTATTTATTGTAACGCTTCTATTGATCAAAATATATTCCTTTCTTTTAACCAACAGTTTTCTCTACTTCTCTGCCTCTCTATTTGTTATTTTCTGCCATTAAACTAACAAATTGGTATCTAGAGCCTTCTTCTTAGAGGGACCTATGAGTGAACCCATTAAAAAACCCACCATAATAAACCTTCCTTCAATTCATCAAATAGATGGATTTTGAAACTCCTTACACAAAACTAGCACCGCCTGTGTTTGACGGTGATAATTATCACATCTGGGCAGCAAGAATGGAGGCTTACCTAGAAGCAAATGACCTTTGGGAAGCCGTTGAGGAAGACTATGAAGTTCTTCCTTTACCGAACAATCCAACTATGGCTCAGATAAAAAATCACAAGGAGAAGAAAGGAAGAAAATCTAATGCAAGAGCTACTTTGTTTGCTGCTGTCTCACAAGACATTTTCACCAGAATCATGACGATTAATTCGGCATTTGAGATCTGGAATTTCCTCAAGGAAGAATATGAAGGAGATGAAAGAATCAAGGGAATGCAAGCAATGAATCTGGTTAGAGAATTTGAAATGCAGAAGATGAAGGAGTCTGAAACAATTAAGGAGTATGCAAACAGACTTCTTAACATTGCTAACAAGGTGAGGTTGTTAGGTTCTGATTTTTCTGATTCACGAATAGTTCAGAAAATACTAGTAACTGCTCCTGAAAAATTTGAAGCTTCTATTACTTCATTAGAAAACACTAAGGATCTTTCAAAGATCACATTGGCAGAACTTGTAAGTGCTATGCAGTCCCAAGAGCAGCGAAGGTTGATGAGACAAGATGGTGCAGTCGAAGGTGCTTTACGAGCCAAGCACCATTATGGGGAAACCAGTAGAAAGAAGCATGTCAAGAAGGACCAGCCATCAAGCAGCGGTAATAGTGCAAACAACCAAAACAATGGTAGGGTTAAAAAGAAAAACTACCCACCTTGTCAGCACTGCGGGAAATTGGGTCACCCACCATACAAATGTTGGAAACGACCAGACGCGAAGTGTAGTAAATGTAATCAGCTTGGACATGAAGCTGTAATTTGTAGGAGCAAATTTCAGCAGCAACATGAAGCCAATGCCCAAGTTGTTGAGCAAGATGAAGAAGACTATATTTTTGCTGCAACATGCTATTCGACAAGGAGCAATTCTGAATGCTGGTTAATTGATAGTGGTTGTACGAACCACATGACATATGACAAGACTCTATTCAAGGATTTGAAGCCCACAAATGTCTCAAAGGTCAGAATAGGGAATGGTGGCTATATTACTGCAAAAGGAAAAGGAACCATTGCAATTTCAACGTGTTCAGGTACCAAAATTATATCCGATGTTCTCTACGTACCTGACATTGACCAAAACTTACTAAGTGTAGGTCAGTTGATTAAAAAGGGATTTAAAGTATCCTTTGAAAATCAACAATGTCTCATCTACAACATTGCTGGTTGGGAAGTTTTACGAGTTAAAATGAGAGGTAAAAGCTTCTCGTTTGATCCAACAGAGGAGGAGCAGGCAGTCTATTTTACTCAAGTCAGTCCCACAGAACTCTGGCACAAGAGACTCGGCCATTGCCATCTTGAAAGAATGTTGAACATGCAAAGAAAAGGCATGTCAAGAGGTCTACCAATACTTTTTGATAATTTACCAAATTGTAATGCTTGTCAATTTGGTAAACAAATAAGAAAATCATTCCTCAAATCAACTTGGAGAGCTTCTCAAAAGTTGCAGCCTATTCACACTGATGTGGCGGGACCCCAAAGAACACCATCACTACAAGGTAGTCTATACTTCATTCTTTTCATAGATGACTTCACAAGAATGTGCTGGATATTTTTTTTGAAATTTAAGCATGAAGTGGCTGGAGTATTTATGAAGTTCAAGAAAATGGTGGAAATTCAAAGTGGCTGCAAGATTCAATGTATAAGATCTGACAATGGGACTGAGTATACATCAACAAAATTTAATCAATTTTGTGAAGAAGTTGGTATTGAACATCAACTCACAGCCCCCTACACTCCACAGCAAAATGGAGTTAGTGAAAGGAGAAATAGATCGGTGATGGAGATGGCTAGATGCATGTTACATGAGAAGGAGTTGCCAAAAACATTTTGGACAAAGGCGGCTAACACAACGGTTTTTCTCCAAAATCGGCTTCCAACTAAAGCCTTGAAGGATAAAACTCCATTTGAGGCTTGGTATGGGTATAAGCCATCACTAATGTTTCTTAAAGTGTTTGGTTGTGTTTGTTTTGCACATGTTCCACATGCTAAGCGTGACAAACTTGACAAGAAGGCAACTCCGGGCATCTTTGTGGGTTACAGTTCAGTTTCAAAGGCCTACAAAGTGTATCATCCTCAAACCGGAAAGATGATTGTTACCAGAGATGTGCACTTTAATGAAGAACAGCAATGGAATTGGGAGAACTCACAAAGAACAACTAAACTATTTGGCAACATTGATGATAAGCATTCGGGACAGCAAACAACAGAGCTGTTATAGGATGAATTAGAAGACGACCCTCCAGTCAGAGGTAAAAGGCTGTTATCTGACATCTATCAAAGATGTAATGTAGCAGTTTGTGAACCTACTAGCTGCGAGGAAGCGCAAAAGGACCAGAAATGGAAAACTGCAATGGAGGAGGAGATATCCATGATACAAAAAAACAAAACATGGGAGCTGGTTGACAGGCCTGAAAATAGAAAAGTCATTGGAGTTAAATGGGTTTTCAGATCAAAGCTTAATGCAGATTGCTCAATCAACAAGCACAAGGCCAGACTTGTAGTTAAAGGGTATGCGCAAATTTTTGGTGTTGATTATTCTGACACTTTTGCACCTGTGTCCAGATTAGATAC